CATCTTTCCTTGATTCTTTTAATATGAATAATTCGAAGATAAAACTATGTGCGAGTGTGCGCATGCACAGTGGGCCCCCACGGCACCCTACAAGTGCTAGAAACTGATCCCACATGGAACATCAGCATTTCGTTTCCTCATATAAAATAACAAAGTAATCTATATGGTATAAGAGCTTTGTGCTTGCTAGTGTCGTGTAACATTCGTAATCAAATGACGTAAGACGATCGCTAAACGTTTAATTATCGATCTGCTAACATCTTAGTGAGCGAGTGAGCGAGTGACACATTTGCATATTCAGACCCCTCACAATAACTYGTTTCTACGCTTCGCGTATCCACGAGTTAAAAATGAATACGATATCTAATAGGTAGCCAGTATAAATGGAATAGAACTGGTGCGATGTGGCAAAAAGGAGGAAGCCGTGCAATAATCCTGGCAGCACAACTTTGCACTCTTTGTAACTTATTTACATAAATATCAGGAAGGCCATACAATAWACTATTACAATAATCTAATTTACTCGCTATAAAAGCATCCACCAAAGTCTCAGTAGAACCATGTGATAGGTTTTTCCTAATTCTTCTAATATTGTATAGATGGTAAAATGATGAACTACAAGTTTTCTTAATTTGTTCATGCATATTCAAATGGGAGTCAAATCTTGGTTAATCTTGGACTCTCCAACTTATAGTTTGGTGACGTTAACTTTCTCCAACTGTCGTTGGGTACCGATCATTAAGAATTCTATTTTAGGATTCAGCTTCAGTTTGCCAAATAGCTATACATATTCTTTATTATCTTAAMTACATGTTTCCATAGCAGCCACAGCCAACCTCTCATCAGTATCTTCACCAGGCTTGAAGGCCAGGTACAGTTCTGTAATTCATCCGCATATGTGTGGGCTTGAGACAGATGACTTTCAATAATTCTGAATAGCTTGCTTGAATACAATGTAAACAGCAGAGGACCTAGGCAGCTGCCTTGTGGAACACCGTCAGTGGTGACACGTTGACRTCTCTGTGACAGATATGACTCAAACCAGCTTAAGCAAATCCCTGATATGCCAAAATCATTTGAGAGGCGGTTAAGTATGCAGAACGTTGTGGYCTACTGTACAGTATCAAAGACAGCACAGAAGTAAAGTAGGACCAACAAGGTTACGYCTTGCTTATCCATGTCATTAGTAGATGGTTCTTAACCTTACAGTAAGTAAGGCAGTTTCCGTACTGTGTCCTGGTCGATAGGCTGATTGAAGATCGGGGATCAAGAAAGAATGCATAAGTGGCTTTACTTGGACTCCAGTAACCATCATGGTATGTCTGGACTACTGTGGTGAACTGTACAGTGAATTGAGCAAGAAAAACTGAACTAATTGACTTCTCAACTGCAGGACTTCTTGACTTTGCTGCAGTGAGCTGGCCGGTGGAAGGGCAAGTATTGTAGTATTTCTATTGTAGTATTTATTGTATTTCCCTGGAAAGGTCCAATGCTTGTCCATCCAAGAGAAGTCCATCTGGCAATTGGCTCTCCAGGTTTTCCTCAAACTTCTTTTAGAGCACAATGCAAGTCTGATAGGTTCAGGTCAATCAGCATATCGATAATAGGACGCTTACCCAGTAATGGGAAATGGATTCCGTTTAGATGAGACCATTTGTCTTTTTGATGTGGCCAGTCTATTGCCAACATGTTTCCGGTGACATGTTTTGTAGTATATGCCGTTGCATTCTTTCTTATTTGACCGTCACAACTTTCCAGGGTGAATTGAACTATTTTACTCTTGAGATTTGCAGTGGAATCATTCAGCATCATTACRGACAGTGATGATGGTTCACCTTTCAGTCCCAAGCTGTTTGCAACATCTTCATTCAGGTASGTCCTGGTGCTTCCATTATCCAATAGAGCATTGATACGTACAGACTTTGTCCCATTTCTTAGAACAACAGGGATGGTCCTTAAAGGAAGGTACTCTGTACTGCTAGTAATCGAAGTGACTTATGTGTCTGATCCTGGCTCCCCTTCCATGCGCTTATCAGGGCTTTTGGAAGTGCTTTCATCAGCTGTCGCAGGTCTTGGTGGTTCTGAAGCTGTACTCCCTGCTGAGACCTTTGGAGGTTCTTTGTTTTGTCCTTGTTGTGTGGAGCAACTGATGATGGTTTGAATGGCATCCATCTATTGAACATACTCTTGTCCTCTTGCATGTTGCACTTCTATGAGAACTTGACAAACAGCGGCAACAGGCACGGAATTCTTTTGTTTTATCCCACCTTTCCTCCACAGGTAGTGCATTGAATGTGCTACATGTACATTTTCACTGACCATGTTCCTCTGAACAGAGCTTGCACTTTGGAGCAGCATTTTTCTTTTCAACTGTTACTTGTGGAACGGCTAGCGTACTTCCTGTAGCTTGAGCTTTTGTCTTTTCTTGTCCTAATCCTTTGATGGTTTCTGCTGCCATCATCCAGCTTTACAAAATTGCAGAGATCTCTAACTGTACCTTCCAGCTTCCTTTCCCTCAGCCAATCCTGGTACTTCACTACAGTCGACTCTCTTTGAACGACCACTCTCGTAAGCGACCACCTCCCGTATGCGATCACCTTTTGAAATTCCCGTTTTGTTCCCCATATAAGCTTTGTAAAAAAACTCTCTCAGAAGCAACCACTCTTGTAAGCGACCGCGACCACCTTTGGGGTTAAAATTTTGGAAGTTTTCATTGTTTTTCTTCTCCCGTAAGCAACCACCCAAAAGCCAGTAATGGTGACAGATCCTTTAACAATAAAAAAATTAAGAACAGAGTCATAGGGTATTAAAAACCCRATGAAATATTGACAATTACAGTACTGTAAACTTATAGCACATTCAAGGTTTTGATTAAAACAGTTTAATCGTTGATACAGTAGTTTTAACACATGAGTTACAAATTATAAATGGTTTAGGCTTCKTGTGTTTGGGATTCTCATTTTTTGTGCTTCCTGCATTAACTCTCTAGTAAGGGACCATCTCTCATAAGCAACCACTTTCTCCTGGCCCCAGGGTGGTCTCTTACGGGAGAGTCGATTGTATTAACTGCTCATTTAACYTTCGAAGAAGAGTCACATAATGAGCCTGCACTTACTCACCTGTTTGTCCAGCTTCAGACAACTTTACAATAAGTTTATCCAGTAGTTCTGCAAAGCGCTCCAGGTCACTGGCGTTTCCCTCACACACTCTACRGAATTTGTCTAGTTCTTCCAATCTCATTGTAAGTTCTCATCTCTTTCCTCCATATTTGCCTTCTAGTATTGCTATGGCTACATCATATGCAGCTGCAGAATAACCTAGGTTTTGGATGGTACGTAGAGCTTCTCCTTCAAGGTGGCTATGCAATCTCAGTAACTTTTGTACTGGTRGTACTTTATCATGCCTTCCAACCGTTTGGTAGGATCCAGCATACCATGCTTCAAATGATTGTTTATCACCCTTGAACTTAGGTATTGATAATCTCTGTAATCCTCTGAATGGGTCTTGTTCATGTTTTCCTGCAGTACAGGATCTGTATGTTGGCAATAGAGGCTGATTTCCAGGCAAAGCCATCTTTGGCATTGAAAATCGTAATGGACTAAATCTTTTCTCCTGTTCAAAATGCAGTCGTTTGTCTGTAGTTGGTATTTTTTCTTTGTACTCATCTCCAGAAGGCTGTACTCTCTCTGATGCAACAGGTATGTCAGAAAAGGGAATTTTAGAAGCTCCCAATTTACTGTAGATGTCGCTTTGTTGTAGTTTCACATCAGCCAGAAAAGTTTCCAACTCGTACATCACCTTATCTATCTCTTGATTAAGTGCTTCCTTTTCAGGTGAGGTAAGCCGTGTGACTTCCTTTGTGACTGACTTTGTCTTTTTCAGTTCTTGAGCTTGAGGTCTGAATTGTGCATTCTTGAAAGACTCTAAATATTCACTCACCATTGTCGATGCTTCCTGAACGTCTGCTCTAACATGGTTGTGTTCTGCATTTAATCTTGCTTGTTTGTCAATCTCTTTGAAGACATCCCATTCTCTATGTAGATCAGTACATGTGTTGTGGAACTCCATGAAAAGATCTGTCATCTTCTGGCACAACTCTATGTAGATCAGTACATGTGTTGTGGAACTCCATGAAAAGATCTGTCATCTTCTGGCACAAAGGCCATCGCATCTTTTCCATCTAGGCTTCTATCAATTCCACTAACAAGCGTGTCTCTTGTTTCATAAATTGCACTACACAACTTGCTTTTGCAAGTCCTTAATCCACTCATCTTCTCACCTTTGAAAGATCTATTACCTTCTATAGTGAACTTGAACGACTTACCTTGAGAACCTCGCTCTGCTACCAATGTTCTGAAGGATTTTATTCATTGATTTAACTTCTTTACAATCTGATCTTCTGAACTGTCGATTACTTTAACTTTACTATACAACTGCACTAAAACGCACACAACACAGCACTGTGAACTGAAGTTCCATACTGTAAAAGCTATGTTCTAGAATGTTCTACTTGTTGCTATTCTTAGTAACTTACATCATACCTATGTTTAACGATTTTCTAGAACTTTCTGGAATATGAACTTATACATGACTTTAGGCATGAAAGTTATCTATGTCTAGAACTTTCTAGAATTTTCTCTTGGTAGTACATTATTCTATAATCTTCTAATGAACACAATTTTCACTGAATTTTCATCAAATTGATTTCACCAGTGTGCTCTATACGAGTGCTCCATACATTTTCTTCGTAAATACAGAGCCAATCAGAGTGCACAATATATCTTAGTTATGCTATAAAGAGGCTATTGCCGATAAACTTCATGGAAAATTCTTAAAAACAAGACACTGATAAAGTATTTTGTGATGTCTTGAAGTAATGATAATCCAGACCCTGGTTGGGACAGTTTCCTAGTGTCAGAGTCTCTAACACTGTCATTCGAAATTTTTACTTCTTCTTTAGATTCTTAAACGCCATTTGTAGGCAGAACGTTTGTGCCATACTCATCAAACTCATCAAATAACTCAATCTGGAACTCCATTTCCAGTTCTGGGTTCYGGATTTTGGCATATGTAATTAGCTTGTTATGCAAACATTCCTTGTTTGCAAACACAAAAGGGGACTGGTAGCGAATTCACAATATTACGAAAATCACAGAGGTTCCTACRGTTCCAAGTAGGAATTTTAGGTATTTCAAGGAGTTAAAGGTACTTCAAAGCAGCTTTATCATGTTTACTTTATGTTATTTACATTGAACTATGGTGTAAAATGTTTGAAATKGATAATTTTTTAATCAATTAGCAACAATATTATTGAATTTTAGGTTTTTGAGTCATGTTTATACCTACGAAGCGATCGAAAGACTTTGAAGATCAGCTGGTTCATCCGCTCTTTTCACGTAGATATTTCAAAATCAATTCTCCCACCATCCTTTGCAATAATATCCCAGACCAAGATGCCCCCCTTTCCTTCGGAATTCCTGGTCTAAGAAACCCCCCCCCCTCTCCTTCGGAATTCCAAAATGCCGACCRTGGTAGGGGTATGGATATTTTCTGGAACTACCCAATCATGGGAAATATTTCATAGTCAATGAGTAAAACTCATGACACAAACTGCAGCAGTTGAGGATGCTCAGAGGAGGTGAACTTGTAACTGGTAGAAGATCTCAAGTCCATCAAAAGTTATCAAGCGGTTGAACGTTTAAAATGTATATACCCATAATCCTCGTCCGTCTCAGCTTTGTAGCTTTTCTGGTGACTAACTTTATTGAAATAAGTGTATAAGGATATAAGGATACTCAAGATAAACAAAATTCTGAAACAGCCAAAATAAAATGATAAAAAAATGAAGAAATCCAACGCACATGCGCAAATTATGTAGCATTTTTCACTTTCTCAGATTAAAAACCTATTACCTATTTATTCGTCTTTTCATTATAAATCTCTGATTTAGCTTACCTAAAAAATTACCAGGATTGTCAATGGAATTATTTTACATTTTACAAAGAAAAACTAMGAAATTTGTTCAAAACGTGTATGTGATATTATTTGGATTCGAATTTAATTACTTGTATAATATGGAGGTGAAATCATATTGATCGACTTTTTATTTATATAAACTACGTAGTGAGGATTATGCATATTCTTGGAAATACAGGAAAAATCCTCTTTCCTAAGAGGAAGAAGAGATAAATATGTTTACTAAATATGGCCCTTAATGCTTTATATTTCCTAGGCACCAGAACTATATGTATGTTATGTTCTAACCACATTTTTGCAACAAACAAATCATTTTTACCTTTTTTAAGACCTTCATAGCAAAAACTCTATTCATGTTATGTCCAGAACACTTTCTAACTTGAAAAACCTGAGAAAAAAGAARGAATAAATTGCTAAGAATTCAAGTAATTGTTGAGAGATACTCAATGATCAAATTAGATGATGGAAGAACTAGTACCAAAAACGCCATGTCCTTACCTTTCCATAACCACCTTTGCCTAGAACTTTCAACAATTCGAAGCTTTCTGGCCCAACTTTCTCATCTTTAGGGTTGACATTTTCTTCTGATATAGCTACTGTTTCGACATCGTTACCATACATTCTTAAATTGATGATAAAAAGTGAGAAAATTGAGAATATTAAAGAGCGTCGTTTTGAAAACTCCGAAAACATCGAATTAAAAGGCTTAAATTCCACAATGCGTTTGAGGAATATTTTTTACCTTTCGTCATTATCCATCGGCTCGTCGATACACTCACCCTAAAAGTAAATAACTAGTTAGAAATATTTTAGAAAAAACACTTTTTAAATGTGAAATAATAAGATAATAAAGCGAAAATGCCGGCAATAAGTTTGGAAGAAACAGCGCAAAACACTCCAAACACGAACTTCATCATTCATTCGAACTTTTTTCACCTCAAATTCGTCGTCACTGGACAATTTATCTTCATCTCCGGCATCATTGATATCCAAGGGAAACACTTCGGCCATTTTCCTTTGGTTAAGACATACAATCGGTTAAAAATTTGTCGAAAATTACGGTAAAAATCAGTAAAATTGAGAGAAAACCCGAATATTTGGACGAAACAATGAGCTCATGAGCCCAGAGACGCCCGCGATTGGTCAGCAGCCTACTATCACGTGATCTCCAAGGTCAGGTCAAACACGGTAGTCCAAGCACAGGGAGCCCAATTTAGATAAAAGTAAATGTGGAAATTAGGATAGGAAAATTAGACCTATAATTCCATAATTCGGAGTTTCGCTCTACTGTCGATTCTGGATATCGCTCACTCACCATATCGCTAATTGAGCGACCACAACCCACAAAATCAGTCTAGCTGAAAATATAATCTGAAGAATTGAATTATTACTCATTATTTTTTATTCGAGGACAAGATAATGTCCTCCGTAATACAAAAGAGCCGAAGAAATCGATAAAAAATTGCCCTAGAACATTTTTTTAAACTAGCCGTCGAAATATAAACGCAGGCTATATTTTAACCTGTGGTTTTTAACCCTGCGGATAGACTAGGTACCAGACACCATATTAATCAATATTGACGAAGTCCGAAAACAGAAATTTAATTCGAGAAATTTCCTTTTATCGCTGTAAATTTCTATACATTTCTCGTGATTAGGGGCGTAATTTCTCGTGATTTGGTTGACGTCACGATCGGGTTTTTTATCGCTTTTCGTTTCATTTAGGGCAAGAAGTCCTTTGGTACGCGAAGTGTCGATGTTAAAATATTTGGCTCGACCCAGAAATCTTAGTGTTGGTGTACTCATTGGTGCTTCCGCCATAGCTGCGTATTTTGGTAAGTAGAAAAAGCCCTTTCTAGCTACATAAACACGATTTAAATCTCTAGGAAATCAACATTGAATATTAACCCGACAACCATAATACGTATTGTGGTCATTTGTACGCCCTTAAAATAAATTCTCTCGACGCAAATATAAGTTCTTAATCCTAGTCAACTACAATGCACTTGTATTGAAGTTATTGTAGCATATCCACACTTCCATCTCTTTCTCCAATTCTCACTGTTTCCATCGATCTATTCAATCAACCATGAAACCTTATACTAATCCATCCCCTTCATTCGTCCATCCATTATCTATCCATACATCCTTTCTTCACTCCACCTACCCTGGCACCCATTCTATAAATTTGTGCATTCAATTTTTATTTACTAATTTCTCTTAGTGTCATTCAAATCTCATATCTGCTCAACAAGAATGCATACCAAAGCAAGGGGAATGATCTATCCAAACACTGACATCAAAAGATTTCCTGTCCCAGATGAATTTGTCCCATGGCATGTGTGTTATTCAGACTACAAACCTGTAGGATACACCTCCAAGCACATCTTATCTGGTCCAGTATATGCCGACCCTGACATAAGGTATTACTCATTCTATAAATCATAAACTTTAAGACTCCTTGAAGTAATAGTACACCTACCTGGGGGTCAGAACGATGAAAAATATTAACATTAAGCGAATGCAATCTCRCAATTTTTCAGTTGTCTATAAAAGTTTCTAAAAAATTGGCATGTATTTAAAAAGTAGCTTTTATYTATCTAATAAATTATGCACAACTATGTTTCTGAGTCACTAGGTATTGGCCTCTTCACAAAATGTTTTAGGAAAATAGAAATACCAAATTACATTCATATCTTGTAGAATGACCTCGACAGTCTATCATCAGTCTTCCTTAGCTTCTTCCTTTGTGTATATACAAAAGGATCAGAATTTCTGCATATGGCTGTATATAATTATATACATATATATATATATATATATATATATACTTTAATTTGATATGAAGTAAAAGCTTAATTAATTGATAAATTAATTAATTTATATATTTATTTATTTATTCATTAATGAATAAATAAATACAAATAGATCATACATGTTCTGAGGCAGGGCTTCAGTGCTTTGTCATTCAGCACGTTGAAGGACTAGGGAGACAACAATTAGATTTACACTTTAAACAAATTGATTTTCATGAGCGAGGATCGTCTGGGTTGTAAGAGCACTGAAGAGCTGACATAATTCCTGTGGTAATATGTTCCAGATTTGCCCTAATCATGAATGATTTCTGATATGATGAGGTTTTACAAAAGGGTTGGTGGAATTTGGTGCCACTGTCACTGGTATTGTTCCTTGTTAACTTGATAGAGCRAGGGACAGATGGTAATGCTTTAGGATCGAGCTCTGTTAAGCCTGTAATTATAGCTTTCATTTCTGATATGTTGAGGTTTTACAAAAGGGTTGGTGGAATTTGGTGCCACTGTTATTGTTATTGTTCCTTGTTGATTTGATAAAGCAAGGAACAGATGGCAATGCTTTAGGATCGGGCTTTGTTAAGCCTGTAATAGCTTTGAAAAAGAATACCATGTCCAGATACCCATCCTAGTAACACAGGGAAAGAAGGTTTGCTCTTATCAACCTTTCCTCCCTGGCAACTGATTTCCCAAAGATATGGAAGATTCAGGATAAATTTAGTTGCCCTTCTTTGAACTTGTTGGGAGCGTTGTATCAGTTCCACTGTTTGAGGGGCCCCATACGTGTGTAGCGTAACCCAGGTAGGGGGGGGGGGGGGGCCCGGGGGGGGGGGGGGGGAGGGGGGGGGGGGGGGGGGGGGGTACCATGGTCAGGTAGAGTGTGCATCTAGTTGGTAGTGACAAGATATTTCTAACCGAGCGACGTACATACCCCAAGAGCTGTATAGCTTTCACATTCTGTGTGAGGACTTGTCTTTTCCTCAATAAGTTGACGGAAATCCAAACTCTAAGGTCACCTTCATTGCATTGTTCAACAACGGAGGACCCCATAGAATATGGATAAAATATTTTGTTCCTTCTCTGGCTTAATGTTTGTGCCTTGCATTTCTTTACATTGAATATAAGGCCAGATATTGTTGACCAATTACAAAGCCCATCAAGGTCTTTCTGCAAGAGTAGAGTCAGTGGGTCTTGAAATATGTTTGAAAAGCTAACTTGGTGTCATCGACCTAAGCTGCTACATTACAGGATGATATTGATTCATGGATCCTTGTGGGACACCAGAGGTTACTGGTAGGAGAGTAGAAATAGCAGCAAGCAAGGTAACTTGTCGTTTACGACCACTCACTGACGGGTAAGACTGGAACCAGCATTGATTTTTTTTCAAAACCTAAAACCCCATAGCCTCCCCCCTAAGCACCTGCCCAAACGTTAATTTTGATGATTTTCTTTTTCCTATTTTTGATATATTATAGCTTATGTGAAATATATTGAAGGTGGAAATAAAATYGATATGTCACAGGATGCGAAACTGATGCAAAGATTGGAATTTGCCACAAACATAATACAATTAAATACACAATATACAAAGCTAAGGGCGSCCGGAGAAGAAAACAGGGCAATAGCCCCAATTGAAATTCAACTACTTACGTTAATTAAGAAAATATAAAATATGTCTGTTTAAGGCCCAGGTAAAATGCCGCACCCCACATGAGCCGAACCCAAAGCGGAACGTACAGTCCAAAAAATAATGCTTTTCGGTTCAAYCTGCCGTGAAGCATGGTGCCTGACCCAATATTTAAAGCAATGTGGGAGGTTATTCCATAACTTAACAGATCTAGGAAAATAGTAGTTAGTAAAATAATTCTGAGAGTGTTTAAAATGAAAACGGAAGTTTGCGGGATCGTATTTACGAGTAGCATAACTACTTGTTTGAGRAAGAAAAAAGCGTTCAAAATTAGCRGAAATAAGCCCAACCTTAAATTTAAACAAGAGTACTAAGTCATGTTTATCTCTGCGGAATTCTAGAGGAAGTAAGTTTAGCTGTATCAGCCTGTCTATGTACGTTACTTCTTTTACTGGATAATTAAGTATAAATTTAGTTACACAACGTTGAATATTCTCTAGTAGACTGCGATATTTTTTGTTATAGGGTGACCACAAACAAGAAGCATATTCTAAAGTAGATCTAACTAATGCAGTGTACAATAGTTTACGTGTTGATATGTCTCTAATGTCACTGCCACAAACACGCTTGATAAGTCCAAGAACTTTGTTGCCCTTAGTGCACAGTCTCTTGATATGTGTTGCCCACGACAACTGATGAGTGACRGTCACACCAAGATYGAAAGTTTCAGTAGCAGATACCAAGGCTTCCCAGCAAGCTGGTAGTTATGTTTAGGCCCCTGACAAGATCTTCTTTTAGTCATATGTAAGACTTTACATTTGGTAGTATTAAACTTCATGCCATGATCAGTGCTCCATTGCTCATGCGGAACTCATGCTGTCAATAGGGCGGTAAAGCTTACTATCATCAGCAAACAAGGATTTCAAACAAGGATTTCAAACAAGGATTTCCTCAAGAGAACGGAAATCTTTTTGTTTTGGCACCCCAGATTGCTATGTTCAAGCAATGTTTATAGTATGGTCTGTGTGTGTTTGTGTGAGTGGTTAATGAGTATATGTAATAGGACTCCATGCTGTCCAATTAAGAAATAATTGGATGAGGAAAATTCTGAGGACTGACAAAATAGGATGAGGCCATAGGCCGAGTCCAATTTGGCAGTCAGAGGAATTTTTTTAGTCTATATAATTATTTCTTGATTGGGGAGCATGAAATCCCATTACCTATTAATTATTATAGCTGCTGAATTAATCCCATATCAACAAGACCTGTCCAATTAAGAAAATAATTGGACAGTTACCTATATGGGATTAATGAGAAGTATAATTAAGGGTAGTTAAAATGAAGTAGCTCTCAAAGCCTTGTTTATATTAGCTTGGTAAAGATATGGGCAATCATTTCAGAACTGCAGATATAAACTTTTTGTTCAGTCATTTTTTTKGGAATTCTCTCTGCAATCATCAGTTTCTATTGACGTTTCGACCATACTTTGTGGATCCTCTTCAGAATCTGGTGCTGCTAAATATTTTTTCCAGTATTGCAGTCGTCAGCTCAAGATTATATAGCACAAGTGTTAAGTGGAATTTTTTGCTATGAATAGATCTCAATGTCTCTATTTTCTCTAAGAATTTCCTGTTGTCAATGTTTCTCTCCCGAGATATTATCTTGCTCTCATCCCATTTGATCTTATGATTACATTCTGGTCAAGTTTGGCAAAACTGAATATCAGGTATGTTCGTTGAAAATTTTCAAAAATACCCCCAAAAGATACTGAAATCCTTTAAAAAGGGCGTGCTTGGACAGTATTTAGCACCTAATAGATACCTTAAAAGATACCAAGATATGCTGAAGATACCAAAAAATGGCTGATTTTTACCCCTAAGAGATACATCGAGCATACCCGATACTTTTACCTTGGAGTCACTCGGCAGGCTGCCGTCACCCGGCCTGTGTCCCATTCTTCTTTTTGCATATTTGGAATAATTTATATCTTACTATTGTTCTCTGTTAGCAAAACAGTTGCCAACCCACCACTAAAATTTAATGAACTTGACAAAGCCTATAACGTGGATAGAAGAAGTTATACTGGAGAATATGAAATAAATGATGGGTTTCCAAGGTATGTCAGCTAATRTATGCATGTGCTTGTCTGTCTATTTTCTTGCTTTATTTGTTTTACTGATCTTGCTTGTTTATTTTATTTTTTGTCTCTTCATTTGCTTTCTTATTGTTTACAATTTTTCTTTCTTGTGTTTTGGTTTGTTCTCTTGCGTATGCTTGCTTGCTTGCTTGCTTACTCGTTTATTTGCTTGTTTATTTTCTTTTTCATGACTTCTTCATACCCATAAGTAAAATACATACCTACAGAACACAATTAGCTTCAAAAGACTCTTTCTACATTTCCAAAATAAGAACTAATTAAAATTTAATATCCGTTACGTCGGTGCCATTACTTGGAACAAGATCAAAGATGAATTAAACAGAACTAAACGTTCAAATTTTAAAAAACTAATAATAGATCAAATTTTAAAAACTTACTAGTTACTCTGATGCACTTTACTCTTCGCCGTTGGTTTCTTCCTTCTTTTCCTTTATGGTTTTCTCTTTCTTTATTTATGTAATTTTTTTTTTACTCCAATCTAATTACATTTGTTTTTGGATTTTCCCATTTCTATACTTCTTCTTGTAACAATTATCAAACAGTACCAAATGACCAATTTGCTACCTAACTTGATTAGCATTGCTATTTTTAGGTAGCAAATGGTTCCTCAAATTTTTATCGTAATCTTCAAAATATTTAACAAGCAATTTGCAAATCAGAGGGCACAAATAAAGTTCTATTCTTAAGTTCTATTCGCTTGCTTATTTATTACTTGTTTGCTTTTCWCTTTTGCAAGTAGTTTTACTTTCAACTGTTCCATGAGTTTGTAACATTATACACCCGGCCAGGCCACAGGAAAGGTTGCTGAAATTTCAAACAGGCCTGTTGGTTTAAATTCACACAGCTCCACCACCCTACCATCTTATGTTCTTATATTTATTGTATAAATACAATGGCCTCTTCATTGGATGCATGAAGATAGTTCCAGCACCCCCACCCCCCCCCCCCCCCCACCCTACCCTGCACTTACAGATGTAAAACAACCAGCCCATTTATAATCCATTTGATAAAAACTTTTTGCTTAATAGGAACCCTAGAGGAAGGACAGGTGTGGTAGGACGTGGATTTCTAGGAAGATGGGGACCAAATCACGCAGCAGATCCTGTTGTTACAAGGCAGGTATTCTTTATGGAAAACATTGCCTTTTTTCTTTTAAGACCACACCGCTCCCTTGAGTATTATTTTTTATTTGTTTACATAAAATTCTCAATGAAATTCAAACACAGAAAAATCATTTTCAAGGGAATGAAATTAACGTGATCTAAAATGGAAAAAGTTGCGRTTATAAATTTTAATTATTATACATTTTACTCGCTATCTACCTTCTGATTGGCGGAAAGTCCCCAGCCAATCCCATATATCGTGTAAACTTGACATGATATCACTGTCTTGGTTTTACTGTAGATATTTAATTCATAATCATGTCAAGGTCAGAAAGGAGATTGAAATACGTTTGCTATCTTTTCAAAAGAAGAATAAAACTTTAATAACATAATAAACAATTATTGATGAATCCTTAACTTATTTTCATATATTTTATGAAGAATTCCTAGATTATGTCTGAATTAAAAATTTTGCGTTTTTTCACGTTATTGTTTTTCCAGTATATAAAATGTATAATAAAGCAATTATTGAATTAGGTTATCGCATAATATCGTAAATATCAAGACCGAGGCCGTGGAACAAAATACACTTTACTTCAATACCATAGCGAAAATATTTTTGAAATATACTTTTTTGCGCGAACAACAACAGTACCGAAAATTAGTGTATCTATTAAATATATGTCTAATAGAAGAATATACCATAATGTACTTTTTTGCTCGAGCAACAACAGGACAAAAAATTAGCACGTCGCTTCGCAATTAGTGCGATATCGGGTCTACGTGCAATTCCCTCGTCAGCCAATGAATTTACTTGAATCTTATTGCTCATTTTCAATTCTTTTTTGAGGTCTTTCTTTCCAGATTTATATATTTTGTTTGAAAATACTTTCAGGTTTGTTTCGTTCTTTAGTTCACATGGTAATGAATTAAAAAGTTTAGCTGATGAGTCTTGAAAAATTCCTGCTATTAATGGAACAGTAAGTTGGACTGATGAGCTAGACCTCAATGTTCTGATGTTTCCTTTTTGTTCTAACTTAACGTAAGATGGCCATTTTGTATCGCAGATGGCTTTGTGAGCCGTTCTTAATAGGTGGAACTCAGGCCTTTCTTTCACTGGAAGCCATCTTAATTTCAAAATTTCTTTCTCTTTGCTGTATTTGTTGTATATAATGCTAGCTGCACAGTTTTGTACTCATAATTTTGATGTAAGATGTTGAGGCAGTGGAGCATGATAGTATCGTTGTAGTCAATCTTTTACATAATAAGTGGCTCTACTAGTTGCTTTTTTACTGACGGACGTGCAAAGTGTCTTAATTTTTTCAATGTACAAATGACTGAATAGCATGAAGATACTGTTTTCTTAACACGTTCTGACCACTTTAAATTGTCTTGTATCCACATACCCAAAAATTTTGTACAATTCACTCTTTCAAGATCTTGTTGTCCAACTTTAATTTCTGGAGATTGTTGCGAAAGATGTTGGATTCTTGACATTTGATCAGTAGTAAGTAGCATCTGTTTGGTCTTTTTACCATTTAGCAGAAGATTGGAGTTAGTAGACCATTTCAGTACTAATAACAGTGTCTATTATGTCATTTAATTTTTTAGTTGCAGAATCAATTTCTTTAGGTGGACAATGCGTTATAAAAGCTGTGTCATTTGTATATAGAAATGAAGCACAGTCATGCCATTCTTTAAGATCGTTTATATAAAGGCTGAATAATACCGGTGCTAATATGGAACCTTGTGGTACACCGAAGGTGGCATCAATTAACTCAGAACGTTTATCGTTCACTTGCACAAATTGTCGTCTCTCACTGAGATAACTCACGATCCAATATAGAAAATCCTTAGAGAAACTCATTTTATTCAATTTTATTAAGATGGTCTTATAGCCAACTGTATCAAAAGCCTTGAAGAAATCAGCAAAAATAGCCAAGGTCAGCTCACCTTTGTCATAGCCTGTATGATATCATCTCTAAATCTTAGTAAAGTGGCGGTAGTAGAATGTCCCTTTCTATTTAACAATTAGACTACGAGGTCGAGTTTTCTATGAGTCAATAGATAGTCGATGAGGCGCGTAGCGCCGAATCGACTATTTCACTCAAAGAAAACGAGAACGAGTAGTCTAATTGTTTTAGCATAAACCTACTAGCTAATATTATAGTATATACTGTACAAAGCGACGGTCAACCGGCAGCACTGTTTTCATTCACATTTGCGAACTCGTCTCGAAGTATTAACGTAAAGCTTAAACTTGTTCTATTTCTATAGATTTGTGTTTCTATTATTACTGTCAAAACTCTCTTTCCGATATATTTTACCTTATCAGTTCTTGGGATCATCTTTTTAAATTAATGAATGATAAACTGAAATAGTTTATTTACAAATACTTTGTTGTCAGATCATTCATCCTTTTAAAATGCCATCATTATCTCAGTAGTCAGTTGTTTGTCCGTCGTAAGTTTGCGCATGAAAATCTCAGTGAAATCTGACGGCCGCTTTTTCGYGTTAAAATTGCCACAATTCTTCAGTTTTTGTTTATCTGTACCGTCCAAAACCTCAATTCCTTTCCTTGATACAGTCTTGTCTTTTCTACAATCGATTTTTAAAGATTTTTTTTAAAGAACAAGCAGAGATTTGGACGAAACTTGACCATGCACTTGTGTATTATTCGCTACTCGTTACCTATCACAGGATAGATAGTGAGTACGTTAGCCAATCAGATTGCAGGATTCGTGATAGTATGCTAGTAGGTTTATGCTAAATCCTGATATTTTCTCATTCAGTACGTTATACTYATTCATGTGTTCTATCGTCTGATTAAGTACTAGTCTTTCATATATCTTCGAACGTACTGGTAGTATGGCTACTGGTTTGTAGTCATCACAGGATTTAGGCCTATCAACTTTAGGTATAGGTGATATCCTCGACTGTTTCCATGTTTTTGGAAAAGTGTTTTGTTCAATGCATTCATTAATGATGTGCGTGACAGGTGAGGTGATATAATCTGTCACTAGTTTAATATACTTGGCAGGAATTAAATAAGGTCCTGTTGCACAGTCAGTTTTTATGTTTCTTAGTTGACTTTCTACTTTCTTGTAGGTTACTTTACGTAGTTTAAAGACGTTGTTCTGTGTTGTTGGTAGCGATTCAATGTATTTTTCAAGTTGATCCAATGAAGTGGGCGTTGCTCCAAGTATTCTTTGTGCTGTAGTTGAAAAGTGGATGTTTAAATCTGTAGGATCAGCACTTATTGACTTCGTGCAATGTTTCAGAATACGATGGATCGTACGCCATAGTTCTTTTGGCTTGTTAGATGAGAGTGCTTTTTGATAGAAGACTCGCTTAGCTTACTTTATTTTGATTTTTACTAAGTTTCTGAATTTGTCCCACACCTCTTTTGTCTTTGTCTTTTGTGTGTGCTTGATATCTTAAGTTGTTTCTTTGTGACTGTAGTTCTTGAATATCATCAGTTTCTAACCATGGTGTATGAGAAGGTGTGATTTTGACCCTTTTCAAAGGTGCATGTTGATCGAGAGATGATGTGAATAGAATTGGATAGGCTAATTTTTTCATCGACATCATTTGTACTATATACGTTACTAAATGGTAGAGTGGAGAAGTCCTTGAATAAACCTTTGTGAATCAAATTTCTTCTCGATTCTGATCATCTTATGACGAGGTTGGAATCTTTTAACACGGACATTCATGCAAACATTTGGAGCATCATGGTCACTTACTGTTGGACAAGGAAGAACATCTGTGTAAGTTATTGAAGCTGGCATATTTGATATGATGTGATCGATTAATGTTCGTGACTTTAGATGTTATACGTGTAGGTTTGGTAACATGATGGCACAGATTGAAGGAGTCTAACATGCTTTTATACTGTGTAACTCTTGGTGAATGACTATCCATCAAATCAATGTTGAAATCATCCATTACAAGGACAACTCCATCCCATTCAGTTGTTATGTGGGTTGTTATATGATGTTTTCAAATTTATTCATCCATGTTTTAAAATCAAGCATTCTCTCTTATCGATACACAGTTCCTAAAAGCAATTTGTTATGTAGGTTGATATCAGGATTTTTTTCAGCAATATTAGTGTCAAAATTGTGTTCATTATCAGCAAACAGTGAAATAATGTCATCTTGACTACATCTTCGAGGGGAAGTTTACTGAATATGCATTTCAAGCAAGTAAAACTATGTTAAATGTTATTAACCTGTAAGCATTTTGCGTGATATAAGCCCTTACAAACTTCACATATGCAGCGTTTGTTGTTAATTTTGAGTTTGATCTTCCATTGTTATATTGATTACCGCTGTACATAATATGAGAAAGATCGCGTCAGATACCGCCCGCTACAATGAGCGCGCAATGCCTTAGGCCTAACAGTTGCTCGACGATCACGCGAGAGGAAAAAATAAGCGCGCTCTGACTTAGACCTAACGGGCTACCACAGGTATACCAGCAATCAGAGCGCACGTACTATCCTGGCTATATAATAATTTATATTAAATATCTTTTGGACTTAGATATCTCACACATACTTGCCAACAAATTTATGAAAATTTTCGCGGTATATTAATCAAATTTGGCATTTCGCCTAAAAGCTATACTTAGGTCTAAGCATATCTTTTCAGGTATCATTATGGTTTTGGCGTTTGCTTGGAAAAAAACTATAAAAAGTATGGAAAACAGCGAGTGGACTGCCAATCTCACATAGAATTACTGCGGGATTTTGAGCTTTGTTTCTCTGTCATGCGGGGGGCCCAGATAATACATATATCATGTCAAGTTTAAACTTATTTATAGTAACGCCGCTCTGCGATATTAAGGTAGTTCCCTTATTTTTCTGCGCGTGCAACTAAAACCATAGAACTAACAAAGTTTAGGTATTTTTCTTTCAGAAACTAAATAAGAAACATGTTCAAAAGCAATTTTAGCTTTTTTCTTTATTTGAGTAGAGAAATTGCGATTTTTATCTGACTCGCCCCATTCTCCACCCTGAAAAGTGTCAGTTTTCGACTATTCTCGACTTTCACATCCCCATAATGCCTTGCGTTTTTGGGGAGTAACCAATCAAAA